TATCATAACAGCACATTAAAACAATTAAGCTTCACTTAGTCTTCTAAGTCACTCCTGATATCAACTACTAATGCAGCTGGTATTTCTTTAAACAAACATCTTAGTTCATCTACGCAATCAGTACAATATTCAATTACACATCTTCAACTTCGACACCGCAGGCTTTAGCGCTATTACCTACAGATTATTCTTCAAAGGTCATATGACAACAACGCTATAATTTTAAGAAAGTTGGATTCTAAAGTACAATCAACAGCTTTCTGAAAAGACTGCAATATATTAAGTGGCATAGGATGGCAGCAGTGAACAGCATACAGTAAAAATCTTCAAACTTAGTTTTTTATACAGGAACTTTTCTAGCTGTGAAGCTGGTCTCCACATACGGAATACAGAAAAAAAGGCATAGATAATTTGCTTAGAGGCCATTAATACTGATACTTCTGCAACAAATCCCATTAGTCATGTATTCCCAGAAGGACTTTTCATCCAAGGCTGCACATTTGGGGGGTTATATTTGAACAACTGTATAAAATAGTCACTCCTGTTTCAGGAACTGTATTACATTCAACAAAGTCTGTGTTTAGAAAAGGTTAAGGTATAGTTCTACTATGAAAAGTAGCACTGTATTAAGCTATTTCAAACACAGTGCTTGCTAGTTCATCCATTTTAATTATATACATGAGACCTCTGAATTTTTTACAGTGGATTGCCAATACCTTGAGCAATATATCACCATTTTAGATGGCTGCAGCTTCCTAAAATCAATATCAAATACTTCAATCCAATCCAGTTTCAGAAATTGCCTTTCAGTTTTGAATTTCATTTATTCAATTAGTCTAGTCATAGCTACATCTACAAATAGTTGAAAGTTTTTAAAATAGAAAAGTATTTTGTCCATGGTTAACCCAAACAGCTACAAAATCTCTCAGACTTAGAAGCATTCACCTATGATCAAAGACCAAGAACAGAATAGTTAAGCCCTAAAAGTTCTCAATGGTATAAATGTGAAAATAAGAAGTTTTAATAGGAATCTTTTCACAATTTTGTACATAGCAAGTTGTGAATGACAGCTCAAATACTCTAAATAACTACTCTGGCTAACAATTATGAATGTTAGATTGAAGATTTCTTTTGTTTGCTTCTTTTGAAATCAGGCAAAATGAAAAATTTACAACTTCATCTGAAAGAGTCATAGGGATATAAATACTTAATTACTTGAACAACTTTAATGTAATACTAGTAAATCAGTTTCCATCCATCCTTCAGCTAGAATTTATCAAAAATGTAGATCAATTTTCACACAGCTTAATTTCAGTTACAATTAGCTGTAAATCCATGTGGATTTAAATTGGATATTTAAATTGGATACATTCATGTACTATAATCAATCAATTTTAAATCCAATGATTCCTTTTGACATTTTATTTATTAGAATGTTATAAAACAGAAAACTTTAAATTACAGTTATGCTTATTGATCAACATGTAATTTATTGTCTGCTGACAGAGTAAGTGGTAAAACACATAAATTATGTAATTTTTTCACACAAGTGGGGGTTAAATGTGTGAAAATAAGAGCAAGAAAATTTATGGATAAAGAATGTACTTTCCAACTCCATGCTTGAAATAATGCTGCCAGACTAATGAGTGCACAGCATGAGTACCTTAGCAGCCAGACAAAATCATTAAAGAATTCCATTAATACTAGGTGATGGAAAAACAGCAGATGTCACACTTTCATCACAAAAAGTCAGTTGTGTCAGACCTCCCCCAACACTTAACTAACTTTTAAACAATCCCTGCTATAAGAAAACCCTTGCTTTCTGTTTTTACTGATCCTTTAACAGTGTCTTAAAAAAACACTGTTAATCTGTAAAATATCTGCACTGTTACCATCATCAGCCATACAGTAAAAGGTAACTCAAGTTGTAATATTAAGTTGATGCAGATGGCCCAAATGGTACAAAAACTTGCTTACAAAAACCTAGGATGAAGGAGTTTAAAAATGTT